GGCGGGAGGGCTGGGAGCCGAGCCGGTCCGCAGACAGGGCGCATCCCCCGGTCACACTCGGTCCCGCCGCCGCGGCGCCGATCTCCGCGGTGACGCAGGTGTCCGACCGTTCCCTGAACGCCTACCAAAGTCCCGCTCTAGCTCTCAGCTTCGGGACCCGCGACCCTCTAGTGACCGATAAAAGAGGCAGCGTCTCCCCACAAACCAAGTTCGTTTTACCCCTGGGGATGCAGGAGCCCCGGGATATGCGCCCTTCAGCATCTTGGAGAGCATTCGGTGGTCACCCCACCTGTCCCAAAGACGATGTTCGGTCACCCCAGTTCCCAACATATCCCACGAAGGTCCCCTTGCACATAACCCATCCTCCCATCCTTCCTGCAAATAATGTCATTTTTCATTAGTGACATTTCGTTATCTTTCTTTGGATTTCATTTCTCCAGCCCTTTCAACTTCAGGTCCCTCAAGCCCTTACCCTCACCTGTGGATAGGAGAGAGGAAAGGGTTGGGATCGGGAGGAAGGGAGAGGAAGGGGGGTGCAGTGGAAGGGGGAGAAACAGATCAGCACATCTTACAGGCAAGTGACCCCGGAATTCAACTTCTGTCTTCCCTTGAATGTACTTTTGTCATACCCACTAAGACAACAATTTAATTTGCTATGAAAAAGGCACAGGAAAGGTGTCCAAAGAGGTCACAACAATGCAAAGATAACTACAGGACAGAAGCTGGGGGGAAGGGGAGGAGAGAAGCGGAGAACAAAGAGCCCCCACTCATTCTAATCATAGTCCCTGTGCTGGTAAATCAGCCTTGGTGCTCTACTGAATCAGAATCTCTGAATTGGGGACCCAGGAAGCTTCATTTTAACTGGCTTCTCCAGGGATCCCTTTGCACAGTCTTCTCAATTTGTTGAAATTCCGTGATGACTTAAGAGGCTCAGTAGAAAATAATGTATTAATCCAAAGAGTTAAGTTCCCCATCTCAGCCTTTGAAGAAATGTTGTGATGTAGACGTATAAAATAGGGGTGAAAATTAAGGAAAGGATTCCAGAAAACCCAAAGTGTACGTTTCAGGTTAAACGTTGGCTTGTTTCAATTGAAGTACCTGGGCCCCTTCATTCAATATGCACAGGTACTTGCATGGCCTGAAAGAGAAGACACATAGTAGGGCTTTATATTTAAACTCTGATAAAATGTTGCATCTCAAATAGGGGCAACAACCCCCTTCAGCTAGCCTTTGTCGTTCTGATTTGTTTGGCTGATGGGTTTTGCCTTGGCTGATTGGTTTGCCAACAACACTGTAGGGTTGTTAGTTTCTCTGTGACAAAAGACTGTTAATGACTGTGTTGTTGATATTACGGCAGTTCTGGAATTTCAGCTCAGATGCAGAAGACCTATGAAAAATGAGGTTGCCTGACCAAAAGTATGTAGAATCAACGTAACAAATATGGAGCCTCTACCACGTGAAAGTCACTTGTGTTTTGTTTGGTGATGGGTGCAAAGCTAAGCAGGAATGCCAGGGTTGTTGTCCAGATGCATAGACATATATTGGAACTTGTAAATTAACATCACTTCTTTTAGCATGAGTGTGTGTGTTTTGTTTTTGTTTTTGTTTTGTTTGTTTTCTAGTTGTCATCATTTCTTGTTGAAAGAATCTCAACATTAAAAAGCCTTTTGGTGACAGTATACAAAATGTTCAATGGTAATTTTTGGCAAAGAGATCGTTGATATTTCATTTTCGAATGGAAATGGTATTGACCCCTGAACAGCTTATGTTTTTAGTGGTGTTTTTGTTTCTTGCTCAGATGTCCAGAGTAACACAGGATCATTTTAATTGCATCATCTGGAGGGGTTTATAAAGCATCCCTTTACTTTTCTTAGACACAAAGTTTAATTATTAGGAGCTGGTTAAAGAACCCTAAGGAATTTTGTTGCACTAAGAAAATACTTTCTTGCATTGTGAAAGTAACATGTGTGTGTTTTATACAAATTAATATACCAATATATTTTAAATACCAAGACTGGGCCTGGTTTTACTAAATCAAGGGTCTGTAACCTGGGTTCCATAAGTAGACTTGAGGCAGCTATCAAAAGCCCTGAAACGCCCAGAACTATTATATAGACTTTATAAATGGTCATGCAATATTACTTCTCTTTTTATTATGCCCAAGTGGTCTACTGGATAGAAGAGAATCTTAAGATTGTTAGAACACATAGTCTAAATCTTATGCTGATTAAAATTTAATTATTACATAATAAAAAGAAGGAATTATATACAGATCACATCTCATTCCCATTTTATCAAATAATATGATTTCCATTGGGAGGGGAAACTTTTCTGTACATTGGTAACTTAAGAAATATGAATAATGTGTGAATATTTGCATATGCATAGTTGCATATCAGATCTCATCATAAGAAAGATTCTGTTCAAGATGATTAAATCTGTTTTAATCAACCAAGGGGGCAAAAAACAAAACATGCAGCAACTCAATATGTCATCATCCAAGTAATTCATAGACTTACACTGAGTTTTAGAATGTCTTTCTTCTGCAACTTATTCTGAAATTGCTGTCTTTCTTTCAAGGATGAAAATGTTTGCAGGAATACTAAATGCCATTCCAGGTAGAATAGTAACACAAGAAAGTAAACAACCTAATATTATTAATATTGACCTTATCTGTAAGACAAGAAGATAAAAGGAATCTGGGGATGATATCCCTAATTAGGTAAAGAGAAGTTTCTCCCTTTTGGTTAGAAAAAGCTTGAACAAAATGCAATCAACAGTGGAAGGTTACTCAGTGAAATTAGATTGTGCAGGCAGCCAGTCGAGGTTAAAATTGGGTGGAAAAAAGTCTTTTACAATACTGAAATGGCGTGGTAGCTACAGTCTGTCCAAATTCAAAGACAAATTCTAATTTGACTCAGTTAATTACCCACAATGATTCCATTTCCCTTTGATGTGCCTGTTCAGAATATTGAAAAGCTGTAATGAGAAATTGGAAATCACGTTGTCATAGAAGAGTTTCCATAGGAAAGCACACTCCACACAGACACACACACACACACACACACACACACACACACAGAAAAACCGTTTACCTAATGAAACCAGAAAAGCCTCTTTGTATCACTAAATGGGATTCCTTTCCCAGGCTTGCACCCTGGAATGTGAAGGGAAACTGCCTTCTCTCAAGACCTGGGAAACTTGCAAGGAGCTCCTGAAGCTGACCCAGCTGGAGATTCCTCAAGACGGCACCAGCGCCCTCAGAGAGAGCAGCCCCGAGGAGAGCCACGCGCTAGCCAAAAAGTACGGGGGCTTCATGAAAAGGTATGGAGGCTTCATGAAGAAAATGGATGAGCTGTATCCGCAGGAGCCGGAAGAAGAGGCCCCCGCGGGGGAGATCCTGGCCAAGAGATACGGGGGCTTCATGAAGAAGGACGCCGAGGAGGAGGAGGACGCCCTGGCCAGTTCCTCGGACCTGCTGAAAGAGCTGCTGGGGCCTGGGGAGACCCGAGACGGCGGCCGCCACCGTGAGGGCGGTGATGATGAAGACGTGAGCAAGAGCTACGGGGGCTTCATGAGAGCCTTGAAGGGCAGCCCCCAACTGGCGCAAGAAGCCAAGATGCTGCAGAAGCGGTACGGGGGCTTCATGAGAAGAGTCGGTCGGCCCGAGTGGTGGATGGACTACCAGAAAAGGTACGGGGGCTTCCTCAAGCGCTTTGCCGACTCTCTGCCCTCCGACGAAGAAGGCGAAAGCTACTCCAAAGAAGTTCCCGATGTGGAGAAGAGATACAGAGGATTTACGAGATTCTGACCCCCTTCCCGGCCGATGACCCCAGGCCCCAGCAGGCCTCCCTCTGTCCCCCGGTCAATCGTGTGTTATTATCGCGCACTGCTTGCATGGTACAGTGGCCTTTATTGTCTGGGTAACTAACTACACAACCTGCAAGCGCTCGCTTCGGGCGCCGTGTTCTCTCGACCGTGTTGATGCTCAGTATTGGTCTATTGCAGCTGTGTCGTGTTCATGCTAAAATGGTTGGTGTTCCTTTGTCCTTCACTCTTGACAAAAATACCAGTAAATGCTTACTTGTAAATAGGTACAATAAACCCATTACCCCGACTGCATGACATTCTTGTAAGTTTCTTCTTCCCCAAGGTTCTCATTCGCCTTCCGGTCTCCACGGTATTTCCTAAAGTTGAAGACACTGAGGCCATCTGCTTTTGACAGACTCACCACTGGCCTCCTCTTCCAACCGCTGACGCGGCCAAGCCATTTTTCGTTTCGTTCCTTACATGGAAAATCTTAGATGAGTAAACACACGGGGCAAAATACAATGTATTTCCACTCTTCGTTTCTGGAAATCAGATACAGGAAGAAAAACCAAAACCTAATAAAGAAACTAGCTATGCCCTCATATATAAGGCAATCTGCACTGATATCCAGATGTGTATGTCCGTTTTCTTCAGCAAAGTATTTTAGAAGTTAATAAGAAATGAAAGATAATTTGGTCCCATTTCACAAACGCAGATGAAGCCCTCTGGCTAAATAGTTGAACCAAGGTCGCCCAGCAGTTGAAGGACACAAGTAGAATTAAGATCCCAAACTTCTTGCTCCCAGGCAATAGCCTTTGCCTTCCAGCTCCCTGTCCCTCGCTCAGGTCACTACCAACAACTGGAAGAACTTGGGACTGTATCTTTCTCACTATTGTATACTCTGATACCACAACCCAGACTGCGTTGTCCAATATCTGATAAATGGACATACGAATGAGTAAAGGGATGACTGAAGGGATTTGGGGGCCAGATCATTTGAAAAGGTATTACAGACATTTGAGAAGGCAGATTATCCCACAAGAAGCTTATGGCCATTTCATATCAATTAAACCATTGGGGACAACATGCAACAACAAACATAAGAACATATGTAACATTCCTTCTTTCTTTCTAGCTGAAACTACCTGTAGCTAAACTCCCATCCACTAAGTCCTTTCTCCAGGACCCTCACCCACTCTCTCCTTTGTGTTCCTCCCCCCAAATTCAGAATTTAGCAACTCAGAAAAGGAGAGAAAGAGTCTCTACCCTGCAGTCCACCACCTTGCAAGCCTGTGTGCTCCCTTCTGGAGAGGCAGCCCCGCTGTCCTGGGAGTTCTGTCCCGGAGTCCAGCCCTGCTGGGGTCCCTGGGACATGCCCTCGGCCATACACTATGAGAAGACTTCTGATCAGTGCAAGGGGTCCCAGGTCAACACCACTCTCAGAGCCACACCGCCGCCTATATTCCCGATCCCTGGCAAACTAACTTTTGCTTCCAGGTGAGAGCCCTCTCCCTTTCGAACTAGAAATGGAAGTAATGTAAGTGTTTGGAGCAGATCAGGAAGAAGGGGATAGACAGAAGCTGGCCCTTGGAAACCAGTGACATGAGCAAAAAGGAGTGATGAGGTTATAACACATCAGAGATATCAGGTCTCTGTTCAGCTTTAGACAATTGTTTCCCTGGGAAATGCCAACCCCACGTTGCCAGACTTTTCCAAAGAAACCTGAAACCCAGATCGTCGTGGTAATAACCCAAGTTTTTAATTCTCTCCCCAAGAGCAAAGGATTCCCAAACCCTGGAAAGAGAAAATCAGCCTACACCCTAGAGATGGCAAGAGTAAAATGCCCTCCCCCCCACCCCCGCCCACCATAAGATCGTAACATAATCATTACCTTATAATAATACAACATGTGTAATACACATCTCATCCAATAGGGTTTGAGAAAAGAACACAATTTTCATGATCAAAGCAATACACTATTTTTTTTTTTTTCAAATCAAGCACAGTTCTTTATGTAGTAGCCCTTTTTTTTCTATTTTAGGGTAGCCGTGTAGATAGACCAGGCCAAAACCCTCGGGGTAGTCAACAGACCTGTCACCTCTTTTGCCACCTATCACCTTGGTATAGGTCCAGCAATGTCTGGGGTGGGACAATGTCACTCATTCCTATATGTCCTCCCCCGCCTCACGCCTGGGGGAAAATGTGGAACCCAGAAGATGCGCCCCAAATGTGCAGGGAGGGAGAGAACAGGGAAGAGGGACCGGGAAACGGGAAAAGAAGAAAGCGGAAAAGATGGCCAGCCACGAGGGCTCCTTCCGTCCGGCTGCCTTGTATAACTGCGTAAAAGGTCAACTGAAGTCCAGCTTCGCAGCCAGTATCGCGGTCGTCCGGGAAATGGGGCTCGAGGGGTGCCGTACGGGTTCTTCCTGGGTCCCCACAGAGCTCCCGCGTGCCTGGCCTGCGGTCCGAAATCCATCATTAGAATTTTGCACCTTGAACTCTGAAAGGCTTTGATTTCCAAGAATGTCCTACTTCCAAGGAGCCTTTTTCCCTGAGTCAGCTTGGGGTGCTGTTTCAAACGCCGACAACCGGGCTGTGACTGAAGCCCTCAGCACAGGCGTTCGGGGATCCATAAACACGGGAGGGACGAGGGTTACAACCAGCCTAGGGCGAGGGCTTCGGGGCAGGGGGGCTGGATGCACCCGGAGCCCCAAGGAGCTGCTGAGCTGGGGGCCTGGGGAAAACCGGCGCGCCCTGGGTGCAGAGACGCGCACTCCCTGCAGAGGGCGCCGCGGCTCCACCTGTACCTTCCCGAGCGCTCTCTCTGGGCCCCCTCACCTCCGTCCTGGCACTCAGGCCGCCCCAGTTCCACCTCAGGCCTAGTCCTGGCCTGGGTTCCTTCCGAGAGTCCATAGCTCTGCGGACCCTGTGTAGAAACCCCGGCAAGGCTGCCCGGGGGGCAAATCCCAGCTAGCCGTGGGGCCTGAAGCTCTTGTGGCCATATTGTCCTCATTAGGTGGTTGTCGTAACTTCTGGTGCTCGCAAGGGGCTGTTGGGCTTCTCCTGACCCGCAACGCCTCGTCCTGGGACGGTCGGGAATGAGGTGCCCCGTCACCCTGGGCCTCTCAGAAACCAGGCCTCTCCAGGCCTAGGTGCTCTCTCACCCCGGGGCCCCTCAGGGACCAGGCCTCTCCAGGCCTAGGTGCTCTCTCACCCCCCGGGGCCCCTCAGGGACCAGGCCTCTCCAGGCCTAGGTGCTCTCTCACCCCGGGGCCTCTCAGGGACCAGGCTTCTCCAGGCCTACGTGCTCTGGCTCCCGGGCCTCCCAGGGTTGAGATACTGTCCCTGAGCTTCTGGAAGTCTGGCCAGAGCCTGAGAACACCCAACCAGAGTGTTTTCTCTCCCAGGCTTCGTGTCTCCTGAGGCAGGAAGGATTGCAGGGCCCTTAATCATCTTCTTCGATTTCTCAGTGTTCCACTGCAAACGTGTAAAACCCGTGTAACGAGGAAGTTCTCCAAAAATAAAAGCCATGACGAATCTGAGCCTCCAGCCACGAAGGTTTCTTCTTAGAAGATGGAAAGGGGCATACAGCTTTGAATGCCTTGAGACTTCGACCACCGCGAATATCTGTGGGCTTTGTTTCTGGAGGGGTGCGTAAGCACCCCCACGGGAAGCAATTCATCCATTCACCTAATTATAAAGCCAGCTATAAGAATGTGATGGAAGGGCATTCTAGACTGCGCCAAAAGTGGCTGCAGTGCCCCCAACTGGGAGGAGGAACAAGACTTAGGAGGTCTTCAGGCTTGGGGTGTTGACACGACCAGAAATAATTCAAGGTTGAGAGCAGGTGAGTGGCAAGGTAAGCTGACGTGTTTCAACCTCCCTGTCGGCCTCAAGTTTCCTCCCTCCTGAGGGAAAAATGTGCCAGTTACCTCAGTCATATCTGTCACCCGTATCTGTCGTCATTTTGCAGCCTTCAAAGTATCCCGGTTTAGCTGGGGGTGGGGAGAAAAAGTTATATAAACTTTCAGGTTTGGTGATAAACATGCAATGAAGAGATATTCTTAATCACTTCCTACACCAAACACCTGAACTTGTAATGCTCACCCATTGCTTCAAAAGTGGAAAACAAAAACAAAAAACAACAACAAAAAAAACCCGTGCTATTATTGACCAGGAATGCCTGTCTCAGCAGAGAAGGGAGCTTGGCAATCATGTAAATATACCCATCCATGTCACGTGCTGATACTTTTTCTGTTCGTGTTTTTTTTTAAATCAAGTATAACATGTCTGCAGAGAAGTCCACATGTCACAAGTGCACATCTCACTGAATTGCTGGAAAGGAAACATACCCATGAACCAGCATCCAGGTCAAGAAATAGAACATCCTCAGCACCCCACTCCCTTGCCCTCCAAATAAATAGCTCTTTCCTTTTCCGCAAACGTAACTACCCTCATGACTTCTATAACCATAAAGTAACTTGCTTGTTTTTATATTTTTCTATAAAAACAGATTTTGTTCTCTGTAACAATGTGGTTCAACATTACGTTTATGAGAATTTTCCATGCTGTTGCAGACAGCTGTGGTCTATTATTTTTATTGCCATATAGTATTCCATTGTATGGAAATGCTGCAAGGTCCATTCTACTACTGATGGAAGCTTGGGCTGTTTCCAGTTTGGGGCTTTTGGGGATACTGTGGCTATAAGCATTCTGTGTCTCTCATAACTTGTAACACATGTGTAACATTGTAACACATTGTCTTGGGCATATCACTAGGGGTAGATTTGCCGGATCGTAGGGTATGATATGTTCAATTACAGTTTATGCTAAGCAGATTTTTTAAATGTATTTTTTTAAGTTTTTTTAAAATTTATTTTGAGAGAGAAAGAGTGCAAGCGAGGGAGGGACAAAGAGAGAGAGAAAGAATCCCAAGCAGGCTCCTATGCGGGGTTCCATCTCATGACCTGTGAGATCATGACCTGAGCCAAATTCAAGAGT